TCTCTCTCTCTCTCTCTCTCTCTCTCTCCTTTCTACGCGTTACCTGCAGCTCAGGCGCGCCCTCTCCTGGCGGAACGTCCCCATTACATGGAAAAAATCAGTAAAAACGCATCTGGAACTGCGGGGCTGGATCGATTAATCAGATTAATCAGTTATTGAACTAATCAAGTAATTTTATAATTAATTGTTAAATGGAGCATACAGACTATAAAAAGGTAATTTGTTGATAAAACACAGCAAGCCAAAACTGAAGTGGTATTTTATCTTCACATAGTTCAGATTCTGTAATAATCTCCTATTAAGCACAATTTCTATAACATTAATAAAAATTAGCATTCCTGAATGAATAAATAAAATTTAATTATATTAAAAAAGATTTTAATTATTTGCATTTTTTATATATTTTATTGCAGAAGATTAAATGGTAAAATTAAAACTTTGCAGAATGTACCTTTTTTTTAAAATCTGATTAATCTTCTGAATAATCAATAACTAAATAATCATTAGCTCTATCTGTAACACTGCCTTAAGCTCACCAGGTAGGCAGCTGACCTTTGATCCGACCAGATAATTCAATTCCAAAATACTTTATTATTCTCAAAATGAAATTAAATGTTGTAGCTCCTTAATAAGGCTACAGTAGCTTTATTAATGGGTTTAATGTTAAATTTCTTACCACTTTGTTTTGTTAATTTTCTAAAAATTAAAAAAGTTCTTACATTTTTAAGAATTTTTAGCATTTTTTAATTATTAGTTATTTAACAAATGTTAAAATTTGAAAATTAAAAAATAGTCATTAAAATTTGCAATTTTTTAGAAATGTGACAATTTCTTTCAATTTGTTTTAAATTTAAAATTTAATTTAAAAAAACTTTATTATTTTTAAATTTGAAAAGTTTACCAAAGAAAATGCCTCCCTGTGATGTAAACCAGTGACTCCTCCGAGTCGTTCCCGGTGGTTCTGACGTGCTGCGGTTCGCGCCTGCAGGTATGAGAACGAGCTGTCCATGCGCCAGTCGGTGGAGGCCGACATTGCCGGGCTGAAGCTGCTGCTGGGAGAAATAGGCGTGGCCAAGACCGACCTGACCATGCAGATCGAAAGCCTGAAGGACGAGCTGCTGTCCATGAAGAAGAACCACGAGGAGGTAGGCGAGCCGCCGCTCGTCTGTCACGCTGCCTCCCACAGGTTGCCGCTTTCAGCTGCCGCTTCCTTCCGCTGCAGGACCTCCTCACCATGCGCACCCAGGTGGGCGGCCAGGTCAACGTGGAGGTGGACGCCGCCCCCCAGCAGGATCTCACCAAGATCATGGAGGAGATCAGGGAACACTACGAGTCCGTCGCCACCAAGAACCGCAAAGAGCTGGAAGGCTGGTTCCAGGCCAAGGTAGGAACCGGACCGCGCACATCATGAGCCAGCAGGCTCTGTTACCGGACCGGACCGAACCGCTTCGTCGTCTTTCTGCAGTCCGAGACGATCTCAAAGGAGGTGGCAACCACAGAGATGACTCTGAAGACGACAACCACCGAGGTGAAGGAGGTGAAGAGTCAGCTGCAGGCGCTGGAGATCGAGCTCCAGTCCCAGCTCAGCATGGTGAGATCCAGAAACCTCAAATTTACAGAAACACCAGGTCCAAAGTACCAACACCAGAACGTTATTGTTCCCGTTTCTATTTTAAATCATAATGTCATAACAACAAAGCTCAAATGATGGAAGTCATAATATCACAGGAATATATTAATGTGAGAATAAAGTCAAAATAATCCAAGAATAAAGATATGAGAATGAAGCTGTAACATCAGGGAAATAAAGTCATGAATGAAAATAGGGATGTTGAGCAGCTTGTGAAGTTCTACTTCAGTTTTACAAGTAAGAAAACCCTTCAAATTAAAAACAGTTGGTTCAGAAAGAGCCACAACAGAGCAGGACCATCCAAAACTGCCTCTCATTTGATCAGTCTTACCTGGTAAAATACAATCTTTATTCTGCAAATATAAAGATTTTATTCCCAATTAAATGATGGATTATTAGTCAGAGGAAAGCAGCGCTGCCGTTGTTCATCTGATTTAATCGTCTCGTTGCAGAAAGCGTCTCTCGAAGCGTCTCTCGCTGACGTTCAGAACCGCTTCGCCATGCAGCTGAACGGCTTCCAGATGAGGGTAAGCTGGAGCTCAGCTGTGCACTGCTGAGGTTGATCTGAACGGCAGCACTCAGCGTGAGGTTACCTGTGCAGGTGTCGTCTCTGGAGGAGCAGCTGATGCAGCTGAGGGCCGACCTGGAGCGGCAGGGACAGGAGTACCAGATGCTGCTGGACATCAAGACCCGGCTGGAGATGGAGATCGCCGAGTACCGCCGGCTGCTGGACGGAGAGGCAGCGGGATCCGCGGCAGGGTGAGAGCAGGTTCAGATAATACAGAGTTAAAATGGAGGCCGGCGGTCTGCAGACGCCCTGCAGGTCTGTTTGGTGGAGATTAGCAGTAGAGCTGCTGGGACAATTTTACTGACCTGAAGCTGAAAACTGGATCGAGGACCAGCTAATTCCTGTTAGCATTGCATGCTAACGGCTACAGATGCCTCTACATTCAAACAGTAAAGCACCAGATTCACATATTTAACTCTGGGAAAGATTTAATGATACACAAACTTCAAACAGGAAAAACTAAAGCTTTATAAAGGCAGCCATCTTGGATTGGTCAGAAACCTACAAATTTAATCCAAGAGGATTAAATTTTTCCCACTTTTTTCTTGTTTATGTTTATCTTCATTAAAACATCTTCTGACTCTGAAATAGATAAAAGCACAAAAGCAGAGACTTACCCATTTCCCTTCTTTTGCAGGCTTTCCTCTTCCTGCTCTTCTTCAACCACAGTTACCAAAACTGTGATCACCAAGGTGATCGAGGACACCAGTAGCTAAGAGCATTCACACGGCTGTCTGATGGGGCGGAGTCGAATCTCGACCTTTCACCTTCCTGCTTAATGAGACAAGAACCACTTCCTGCCGATGAGGAGCGTCCATCTCATCTTCTTCCTTTTACGCCTCATTTCCTGCTTTGACTCAGTTAAAGATGGTGAATCTGTGAGGAAAACTTTCTGTCTTCAACAAATAAACTGAACTAAACTCAATAGAAATCTTCTCGTATTCATTTCAGTCTATTAAAATGTTTAAATCAGTTTTAGAAAAATTCAAGCGATCTCACATCTATCAGCCAATCAGAATGGAGGGAGACTTTCTTCCCTACCTGAGAGAAACATAAATATAAAAGAAGCATAAACTGATAAAGACTAAATATATTTCTAAATCCAAGAGGGAAAGTTTTCTGACTAAAACATAAAAAAACATGACAAACCAGAAAAAGTGGTTGAGATTTGATCAAAGTCTGACTTTGGCCTCTGACTTTACCATAGCTAGAGATAGCCCACATGCTAGAGACAGCCCACATGCTAGAGACAGCCCACATGCTAGAGATAGCCCACATGCTAGAGATAGCCCACATGCTAGAGACAGCCCACATACTAGTGACAGCCCACATGCTAGAGATAGCCCACATGCTACTGATAGCCCACATGCTACTGATAGCCCACATGCTAGAGATAGCCCACATGCTACTGATAGCCCACATGCTAGAGACAGCCCACATGCTAGAGATAGCCCACATACTAGTGATAGCCCACATGCTAGAGATAGCCCACATGCTACTGATAGCCCACATGCTAGAGATAGCCCACATGCTAGTCATAGCCCACATGCTAGAGATAGCCCACATGCTAGTGATAGCCCAAATGCCAGAGATAGCCCACATGCTAGTGATAGCCCACATGCTAGTGATAGCCCACATGTTGGTGATAGCCCAATTATGAGGTTTTTCCCTAATTAAAGCCCTGATCCCTGATGTTTATGAACTGGACGGTTATTTATCTTTTATCTGGACTGTGCATATTCAACACTTCCTCTAGAGGAATATTTCTACCGAATATTAAAAAAGGTTATTATTTTAAAATAAGTTGAGAGATACAGACATATTTTGGTTGACAGATACTCCTGGTGTTCCATCACATAAATAAATGGCATGATAAAAACAAATGCGTCCAAACAAACACATTTTTAGATTATTGGAGCTGAAATAAATATATCTGTTTTCTTTTTTATTATTATTATTATATCTGTTTTAATTTTTGGAGCTTGCTCCACCCCTTCGCCTATAATTTAAGTTTAATTTAAATTATGGTAAATAATATAGTGGCTTTCAGAATCAAACACTCATAACCGGATATCTGGGAGAAAAAATAAATTTTTATACATTTTGATCTTTCAACACACAAAAACTCTGTTTAATACAAATAAACACAATTCATTATAAAAACTTCAACCAAAGTGGAGATTTGAGAAAACTCCGTGTGGACGGAGTCCCGCGCAGTGCAGTGTGCCACAAATAAAGCGCCAATAAATCCACATATTTGCTTTGACACGATTCCCATTATTGTGTTTTAATAACTTTAAGTTCTGATACGCCGTTTACAGCAGTTCAACCTCTAACTGTTCACACAAACTAACCTCCTGGCGTCATTAAATATCGAACAGGAAGTCCCCGTTATTGTGAAGCCATCTGATTGGCTGACGGGTTTGAGCTTTGGGCTACACTGCCCCCTAGGGGCCAGGCGAGTTTTAAACACTGTGCCGCTTCATGCAGATAAAATGTGAGAAACCGATCCAGTGTACAATATTTTGTTTTTAAATGATGTGGAGATTTTCATCTTTACAAAGATTTTATGGTGTAAAACAAAATAAATATAACATTAAGTTTAGCACTTTTTCTTTTATTTCCATCTTATTGTTTAATATTTTTTATTTTTCATGTATTTATTACACATTTTAGTCAAAAAAAAAAAAAAATTTTTTCCAAATGAGAATGTGTTTTATTTTTTATTTGAATCATTCTTGGAGGCCCTGCTTCAAACCTCTGCAGGTTCCTGTTGTGGAGATAAAGGAGAGGAGTCAAAGGTCAGGATGTAACATTGTGTCTTTAATAACGTCTCCATTACAGGATGTTGCATCACTTCCTCTTTTTCTTTATTACATTTTGTTGGAGCAACATAATCCATTCGAGATTTGTACACAGTGAGCGATCTCCGTGGAGCTGGGGGGTCGGGACGTTTGGTCCGAAAGCCTGGCGTTCCCGCTGAGCTCGTCTGGAAAAATAATCTGGAATGCTTCGGAGCGAAAAGGAACGCCACCTGATTATCGTCAGCAACGAGACACCGGCCGCGTCCCGGTCCGAGGACGGCCGGCCTCAGAGGACTACCTGCTGCAGGCAGGAGGCCCTCTGAGGTCAGAGGTCAACGTTAACCAGAAAACACCTGAAATTAAGAACCAGAACCCACCGGAACCGGATCACAGAGCGGACGGAAGGAGCCGCAGAACCCTGACCCGGCTTCTAAACAGGAAGTTACTCTGGATGCGGCTCCTTTAGAACCGACAGACCCATGAGACAGTGGACCCGGTCCGGCCCGGTCGGTCCGGTGCTGCTGGTCTGATTCAGTAAAAAACTGGAAATATTTTTTAAAAAAAACATGAAACTTTTGTGCTTGTGTTTCATAAGTACTCCAAAAATACGGACCAGTCCTGCAGAGCCGGTCCAGTTCCTCTCCTCCCCCACAGTATATAAGGTGAAGAAACACACACACACACACACACACACACACACACACACACACACACCCTTGCATAAGTCACTCCTTTCACTCCGTCCACAGATAAAATGTAAAAGAGCACAAAGGTATGAAAATGTAAGAAAAGTCATAAAGAAACCTTTATATAGCGCTTGTATAAAAACAGGAATAATACTTTGATTCTCCGGAGGTTAAAGGTCGGCTTTAGCTGCTGTCGCTGCTCACGGCGCTGCTGCCGCCGTCGCTGCTGGTGCTGGCCGTGTCGGCCCGCTCCCGCTTGTGGATCTGCTCGTGCGCCTTGAGGTGGCCCGACTGGCTGAAAGTCTTGCCGCAGCGGGGGCAGGCGTACGGCCGCTCGCCCGTGTGGATCTGCTGGTGCGCCTTCAGGTGACCCAGCCGGCCGAAGCTCTTGCCGCACTGCGTGCAGCCGAACGGCCGCTCCCCCGTGTGGATCTTCTCGTGGGTCTTCAGGACGCCCGAGTTGCTGAAAGTCTTCCCGCACTGCGAGCAGGAGAAGGGCTTCTCACCCGTGTGGATCTGGACGTGGTTGCGGTAGCTGGTCTCCTTGGTGAAGCTCTTGCCGCAGTGCTGGCAGCAGAACGGCCGCTCGCCCGTGTGACTCAGCTGGTGCGCCTTCAGCTCCTTGGACTGGCCGAAGCTCTTTCCGCAGGCGGCGCAGATGAAGGGCCGCTCACCGGTGTGCAGCCGCTGGTGCGAGCGCAGGTCGTCGGCCTTGGTGAAGCCCTTGGGGCAGTGGGCGCAGACGTAGGGCTTCTGGCCCGTGTGGATCAGCTGGTGGCGCTTCAGGTTTCCAGCCTGACCGAAGCTCTTGCCGCACTGCGAGCAGGTGTACGGCCGCTCGCCCGTGTGGATGCGCTGGTGCGTCTTCAGGTTGCCCAGCGTGCTGAAGTTCTTCCCGCACTGCGTGCAGGAGAAGGGTTTCTCCCCCTGCATGTTGCGCGGCTTCCTCACCGTGGGACTCTGGGTCTTGGTGGTGATGAGCAGACCCAGGCCGGCGCCGGCCTGGCCCGCCCGGCCCGACCCGTCCGCCGCCTTCCCGTCCGCGGCGGGCTGCAGCTCGTACAGCGTGCCCTCTCCAAAGTCGGGGTCGGGTTTGCCCAGCCCGTCCAGCAGCAGGGCGTCGGGCCGCAGCTTGTTGAGCTCGGTGCGCAGCTCGGCCATGTGGATGGACTCCAGGCCGTTGTGGTGCAGGTGGGCCGACACGGCGCCGGCCTCCGGGTACTCGGACTTCAGCGCGCCCAGCTCGGCGCTGTAGTAGCAGTGCAGGTCCACGGCGTGGTCTGACTTGATGTACTCCAGGGTGTCGGTGACCTGCAGGAGGAAAAACACCCGATGAGTCGGACCTGGAACCGACCAGAACCGCCACGAGTTCTGCAGACCGTAGGTCTACAGTGGAGCGGCTGAGAAAATCATTTCCATTTGGAGAATAAAGTCATAATTTTATAACTCCTCCATAAAAATTTAAATATAAAACGAAGCATATTGAGCATTTATGAAGTTTTACTTTAAGAAATAAGAAAATACTTCATCTTTTAAAACAGCAGCAAAATATCAGCAGCACTTTGAGCAACAGACGGAGCTGCTGTCAGATAACCATCCAAACTTTCTCATTAGAACTTTTTGACTTTTTACACAAATATTTATCACTTTTTTTCTGCCAATACATATTTAAAAAAATTATTAACAAAAATCTGTCCTGTATGATGTCGGCCATGTTTTCAGAATCAAGTGACCGCTCTAATGTGTTAGCATTTCAGCGCTAGCATGCTAGCTGTTAGTGTATTTTGTTGGTTCTTCCATATTTTATGTTGCTGCTAATAAAATATCATAAGTCAGATTTAACGGGTCCAGACTGTTGAAACTGGGAGAAAGTTTATTAGTTTTATTACAACTAATAAAAATTAAAATAATATTTAACTAATGTAAAAAAACTACATATTTAATAAAAACAAAAAAAAATATGCAAATAAAAAACTAAACTATTTTTAACTTATAAAAACTAAACATTTAACTAATAATTAATACAAACTAAACAATATTTAACTAATAAGAACTAATTAAATCTAACTGAATTAGACAAAACGTCTCAGTGAAATAAACCTAAGTTGTAATGAAAACTCCAGAACCATCAAGACTCTGGTTCTGACCCGACGGGCCGTGTCAGAACCGCCTCTGGTACCTGGGAGATGTAGTCGAACACGGAGCAGGGCTCGTAGTGCGACTTGTAGTCCAGCTCAGACGCGTCGCCGTGGTGGAACGCCAGCTGGTGGTTGTCATGGTGACCGTGGTGCTCGGACTTGATGTAGTCGAGGCCGCTGATCTCCATCTTGATCTGGTCGTGGCCCAGCTCGGCGGTGGACAGCGGCTGGATCTCGGACAGGTCCACGGTCCGGATGGGCTCCAGGTCGCAGTCCTCCGGCTCGCTCTTCACGCACGGCAGCATCACCAGCGGCTCGGCGATCTCCGCCGCCAGAGAACTGAGCGTGGGCGTGGGGCAGTCCGACGACAGCAGCGCCAGCGTGGGCGGGGCGGCGCCGTCCAGAGGCGGCGGAGGGGAGCCGCAGTCCGGCGGCAGGCCGAGGCCCAGACACTCTGCCTCCAAGTCCGACATGGTGAGGGGCGGAGCCAATCCTCCTCACCGCTCTCCGTACCTACACCTGAAGAGTCGCCGAGGCAACAAGCCACGCCTCTTCCTCTCCTCCTCCTCGCCCCACGGCTGCTGGGGGAGGGCGGTCCTGATGAGGTGAGGGGGTCGACCTGAGAGGAACCAGAGACGATGAGGAGAAGGTCCGAGACGTCAGCGCCGTCACCTGACTGGAACCAGCCTGCAGGGGGAGACAGAGAGGGGAACAATAATATTAATCATTCCTGTCATTAGTAATAATTAATATGATCATTATTACTATTATCATTATTACTGTTGGTTGCAGCAGCAGTATTAAGTTGTCTCCGGTCCTGCCTGGTTAAAGCTGCTGTATCGCGTGTTTTCCAGGCACATTGTTCCATTTTATAGCAGGAACTATGTTACCTTCATACGTTATAAAAATGCTGTTAAATAACATATAAAATGTAACTTAAAGAAATTTTACTTCGCAATTTAACGCCTTCAAATTGGGCCTCTGTCTCTTTAAAAACTCCTGCTCTTTCTGAAGCTCCGCCTCCAGGAAGTCATGCCAACATGCCTCCTCCATTAACCCTGAAACGTTTCTACCAGCGCTGCTCTGAGAACCTGATGCAGTTCCTCCAGGTGTTTGCCAATTGCTGCTGGCTAGTCTGAAGGAGTTGAGAGAGATGGGAGCTTGGAAGCTGCAGCTGTGAGGAGGAGCTGCGCCTCAAAGGCGGGGCTAGCTCCACCCAGGAGCTTTGCAGCTGAATGGTTGCCATGGAGATTAAAGGATTTCTCAAACATGCATGAAAGAATTAAATCAACACTCCAGGTTTGTTTCTGATGAGGAAATAAAAACATTATAACGTGATGGAAAGATCAAAAAGTTGGTTTTACAAAAGACTGGCCCTTTAATAAAATAATCTCTGAAAACATTTCCTCTCTCTACGCTGCTCTGTGGCGCTCAGAGCACAAGAAGAACCGCTAAATTATTTTACTGTTGCAGACAAAACAAAAAGGCATCATTCTGCAAGCAGCTATGAACAAATAAAAACATGAATATGAGAAACAATCCTGTGATCTGATACATCCTATTTTAATGTACTGACAGGCCTAATCAAATCATTTAGAAACAGCATCGTCATTAATCAGATTAAACATTGAAACTGTTTGACAGCCATAATTAAGATTTTTATTAATTATGGATCCAGTACTCCACAAATGAAGTTTATTATTGTTTTTGGTTGTAGTGGTACTTTTTATCTAGCTCCATTAATTATTCATTATACTGTAATTAATCCTTTAAAACCTTTTACCAGCATTAATTAAAATAGTTTAACAGGTGCTGCGTTTACTGACTGCAGGAAAACAGACCAAACCTTTTCCTGCGTGTTTTTTCAGTCCTCCTGCTGCAGACTGTGTCGCAGCACAACCTGCAGCAGGAAGCATCATGTCAGGCTACTTCCTGCCTCTGAACTCCAGCAGCTTTAGTCCTTCATGTCTCCAGATGTTGGTAGAAACACAGAGCCGACATTTGTTTGGGAAAAAAGTGGAAAACAAACGCAGCAGGTTTCAGTTCAGATCCGTAACTTGGTTAGTTTTTGTTTCCTCTTTTATCTGCCAGCAGCAAAGAATCTGCTGATTATAAGAGCCATAAATCAGCATCGTATCGGTAACATATCGGTATCAGTAAAGCTGGAAACATCCAAAGTTTGTGTTTCTGAGGGGAATGTGTGTTTGGCCAGAGGAGTGTGTGACGTCTTAACTGAAGACAGAGATGCAATGACAGCAAAGTGGTTGATTATTTAATGTTAAAATGTTAAGGAAATGCATATAACATCAATAATATTGATAAATATTCATATTCATCTGGATATCTATTATAAAGCAGTTCCAGACTGGACCAGGAGAGGTAAGGCCGGGACGCGTTCGCCGACTCGGGCTGCTTCCATCATTTTCAGACGTTGTTTACGTCCAGATTTATCATCCGTCTTCTTCTGCTGCAGAATTATGACATGTTTCACGTCAACAACGTAAAAGTCGGATAAATTGCGACGTTCAGACTGCAGGCACTTTGGAAACTCTCAGTTTTAGTTCCACATATGGAAGAGGAACAGATAACTGAATTAGGCCACATTAATTTAGCTCTTATTTGGGCCAATGTTAATATTTCTACTATAAACTGAAACATATATATTTTCCAAACAAAAAGTCAACCACAACACTAACGTTGCGTCTCTACTCCAAACTACCCACAATGCAACGCTGCATCACTGTCACATGACCAAACCCCTCCACAAACACAAACAGCAACAAGATGGAAATAAACCAGTTTCTAAATATCTAATATCATTTATCGGTTCCATACGGTTCAAAACCTCAAACTAAACGACACTGATGTAGAAGAAAGGAAGAGAAAAATCAGAAAAGCCCAAAATCCTGGCAGGTTTGGGTTCATCTGCCAGAGATTATTGTCACAATTAAACCAAATTCTAATCATATTCTTTCACCACAAAGGCATCAAGAAAAATTACAATTTACAGACATTTTCCTCGTCATCAGTGCTTCCAAAGCGGTGATAATTTGGATAATTCCTGTAATATGGCCACCAAAGAACTGCATGGATGAAATAATGAGCCGTTATATTATGAAGCCAAGTGAATCCATTCAGGCCAATGGAGCCCGTCTGACGCTGACTGGTAGAAATAATGTTCATATGAAACTCAAAGTGAGTCCAGAAGGTCTCTGCTGTTTCTGGACCTGTTCTTTGGACTTTGGTTGCTGTTCTACTGGCTCAGTTCAGTCTGAGGAAACCTTGGGTTAAATTATGGGATGGAGCAGCTCCAGGTGTCCATCGGGTCCCACATCCGGATCACGACCTGGACAGATGTCCTGGTGATGATGGAAGGACTGAACTGGTACCAGGGTCAAAGGTCAAGCTGATGCCAGCTGATGAAGACTGAGATGATTTCAACATAAATTTGATCAACCGTCTGGATGGGAATTTCTCTTTTTCACTAATTTCTGAACCTCCAGGTTTTCATTATTGTTTAAACAAAGATTAACAAACATCTGGGAATTTCAATGTTTTTTTTTTCCTCACTTATCCGGACCTGGAAATACTCTAATCAAATTCCAGTTTTACAGGATCCCAGGAAGCGACCCGCAGGCGCTGACCGTTACCTGTCTGCTGTCACACAGCCACGCAGGCTCACGCACACCGGCCCACGCACCGCTGCCGTGACCTCCTCCCGGTGGCGGCTCTTTCTCCGCCTCCAGACAGCGGTAGAAAGCTGCTGCTCTTTGCGGAGAGAATCGCTCTGCAGCCGCACCAGCAGGGCCGAGCTGTTAGCCGCTAGTAGCTAGCTGCTAGCCAGTGGCCATCTTGTTTACGGAGAACCAGCGGGGCTAGCTGCAGCTAGCATCCCGCAGAAAGTGAGAGTGAGGCGGCCGCAGGATGAGACACAGCGGCCTCCTTCAGGCTGCCTGGCCGCTTTGTGCATCTCACAGGCAGGCTGCGGGCAGCAGAGACCGGCTGACACCCCGACACGAAGCCACAGAACCGGGGGCGATACGAGCGGCGGCCCGGTCCTCCGTCAGACCGTTAACAGGCTCCGAACCTAGCGGAACTCCGCGGCTCGGGGCTGGGGAGAGGGAAATCCCCGGAGAGGGAGGCTCTTACCTGCGGGTGGCCCGCTTCATGGTCCGCTATCTTGGTTCTGCTCGGTTCGGTTCGGCTTCCCCTCAGCTGCGGTAGCTCAGTCCTCCGGACCCGCCACGTCCACCTCGGCAGAACACCCTCTCCTCCTCCTCCTTCTTCTCCTCCTCTTTCACTGACTAATTCCCCTCCCTCCTTCCTTCATACCTTCCTTTCCTCCCTCCTTCCTCCCGCTCGTGCACACACATACCCGTTCAGGCGGGTATCTGGGTCACCATGACAACGGCGCCAGTAGGTGGGTACAGCTGTGAGGGCGCGCGCAGAGCGGGTACGCGCAGTCATCTCGCGCTCTGCCTTTTGATCTCCATTGTTCCGACTGCACGCGCCGATGTGCTAATTTGAATTAGTGAATGAATGGGGAGCAGCACGCGCCCCGCTGAGCCGGGGCAGCCAGGGCACGAGGCAATTATCTGACGTCACTACGTCCCAAAGATGTTTGTTTTAAGGGAACCAAACACATTTCAGAATGTTTTTAGTTATATTAGCGTTTAAATAATTAACTTCTTAATTAATATAGAATTATTAGTTTTATTAATTCAATCTGAGCTTTATTTAAATGACATTAATATTATGTGCTATTATTTTATTCCTATTTCTTTTGTCAGTTTTTATGTATGTTTTCTAATTTATTTATATTAATTTTTCACATATTTGCTCAAATATGTTATTCATATATTTTGTTTTCATTTATTCTTATTTCATATTTCATATTTTTATATGGTATTTATTTTTTGACAGGTTTTATATGTCATAATAATCACCTTTTCAGGTCTTTTGTTGTCACCATTTTAAATAAAATATTTTTTATCTTTTATTTACTCAATTTATTTGCGCCATGTTTCATATTTAATAGCCATGTCTGCTGTTCAATGAGTTCTTTAGTCTGGGATAATTTTGTTTATTTACCTGTTTATTGTTTCATTTACTTTTGCATTTTTCTGTTTGCTTCCATTTTGAATCTCTAAGGAACTCTGTCACCTTCAGTTTTACAGCAGAAAAATGTGGTTTATTGATAAAGTGATGAAAACTGAATCATAATGAGTTAACTATTGGTATATGAATGGGCTTGAGTGATAAACGGCAAAGTTCAGAATTATCTGTCAGAATATTATATTTCTAAACAGTTGAAGGACAGATAATACGTCATTATGGAGGATAAAGGTGCAGAACCATAATTCAGGTTTACAGGAGCAAGTTTCTGAATGTTTCAGTTCTTTTTACATCTGCCTTTCAAGCTATGATTACCATCATTGCCCTCTGACCCCAGGGCCCCTGAGCATGCTCAGTGATCCAAAAAAAGGTCCAGCGCCGGTTTGTAAACTGGAAACCTGTTGATGATTCACGGAGGAGGAAAAACTCTGGATCTTTTCAGTGTTTGTCCATGCTGTGGACCCAGAACCAAACTGCCTTGTTCTGGGTCTGGATCCTCAGAGAGCCGGTTCATCCGGGTCCACAGCATGGTGGCTCCATCGCCAGCGTTTCTCTGGGCGCCCACCTGATCGTTTTCCTCTAGGTTTGAGACAAAGTGCGGTTGTCACCAGAGACTCATCATGGTGGCGAACACAGCCGGACTTCGCTCATCCTGACAGTGATTGGAGAAACTTGAGTCTTCGTCTCACTTCCTCGTTCAGCCCAAGCAACAATCCAGCAGGTTACCATGGTGATGCCTGCTGGTGTTTCTTTGTTGCTGGAGAGCAGGCCATAAACTCACACTGGTCTCTAAGACTGTTTTCCCTCCTGATGGTCCGGTCGACCCGGTTCTACTGGAACCAGAACATCTGCTCCACCTCCAGCTGCTGTGGCTCTGAGTCAAACCAGCCTGTTCCCCTCCTGGCCTGTGGGGGCGCTGCACCAAGAACCACTGAAGGAAACAACACTAAAACCTCTGAAGACACTGAGAGCAACTTCCTTCTTCACCAGATGGAAACAAGATGGAGGATTTTAGCGGTTGGAGGATTTCTCTTTAGGCTAAAGACCAGGAGCCATTTCTGCTGCTAGCGCTAGGCTAGCACGTTAGCTTTGGTTGTATTTACCCAGAATGCCCTGCACTGTAGTCCACTTCCTGCTTTTGGAGCGGTCTCTGGCATTTACATATTGATTCAAACCGCACCAGAGTTCACTTCAACCGGACCCAGACCGAGGTTTGGAGGACCAGAGGTCAGAGGTCAGATAGCATTCACACCTCACTATGCAGACCGGACTTTGAGTAGACAAACGGGCAGGATTTGGACTAAAGCGCAGTGATTTTGGCATCGCGTCTGCATCTGACTGCGTAAGGAGTCAAAGTATTTGAACTTTCTGGTCTTGATTTTGCCGTCAGTTCAGTGAACACTTTCAAGAAATTCAGTTTTGACAAAGATCCATTTTAGACCATTTTCTTTTGATTGATTGCTCGATATTTATCATATTTAAATTTCTTCCAACTATTTCAAATATTCAAGATGTTGAAAGGAAAATATTTCAGAAGCTAAACCCTGATGACAGAACTAAAAGCCAGCAGGCTGTGATGTGTGGTTGGGAACATTTATTTAGATTTTTACATTAAAAGTACCCGGTCTCATCGACTAAAACAGGTCAGAAATATTAGAAACGAAACAAAAACACCTCCACCGTGGCCTTCATCGTCATCACATCATCAGTTAAATAACAGACACAGAGCATGAATTAAAACAAACTGATGATTGGTCTGCATTTCTTCTGATGAAGGCTGAAGGCTCCATGCTCTTCATCACTCATGTTCAGACTGAAGAAACGTTTACATCGGTTCATCAGAATTACAAAAAACACGCTATATTTTATAAAAGTATTGCATCAAATCCAAACAAACACAGAGATGAACTTTCTTTGTCAAACAGTTCATCGACATCATACAGGAAGTAGAAACAAGATGTCTGAAGTACAAAAACAACGAGGAAATCCATAAGAATATGAACATCAGTCACGTTTGGCTGCATTAATAAAAACAGATAGTTCTGTAAAAAAAAAATCAAATGAAAGATATTTAAAACGTCCCTTTCACCCCCACACCTGCATCGAACATCAGGAGGACCGAGAGTCGTTCCCTGAGGAGCCCCAGAGTCCGTCCGTCTGTCCGCTCCTGCTCAGCTGACCTTTTCAGCCGCCTCCGCGCTCGCTGCCGGAGGCTCAACAGTAACATGGTTTTCTCTTCAAATAAAACAACACAAACAGCTCAGATATATGTGTACACTTTCACGGCGTCTGGATGCGCCTCAGAGGACGACACGAACCCGACGTCACGGCGCCCAGCCTCCTTTAGAAACGTCGGACGGAGAGACGCGCACCCGCTGGAAATCAGCTCACCTGGGGAAACTTTAAATCTGGCTGAATCGTTCCAATACTTAAATTATTGCTTTATCTCTGAAATATTACATCAGATCAATCAACGTTTATGTTAAAATGTTCCTAAATGTTGGTTTACATTGGGAATATTTTAATATTAAGACAATCCAGACAACAGATCGCGCCGATGCTGTAATTTCCACACGGGTGCATTTCTCTCTCATGGCTTTGTAAACATGACAGGAGGAGCAGTGATTGGTTCAAGAGGTCACATGATCACAGCGGCTGTGGGAGGACTCCAGGTAACCTCCAGGTAACCTCCAGGTAACCTCCAGGTAACCTCCAGGTAACGCTCACCTGGTTCCAGTTCTCCTCCGAAACCGGATCAGAACACTGACCTGAAGCTGCTCGGTAATAGAAACGCACCAGGAAACCTTTCATTTATTCTCATTTAAAGTCAAAATTATCAACTTATTTCATATTTTTGGGAGCATTTTACATAATTCTCTTCTTTTCCCAAATTAAAGTGTTTAACATTTTAATTTCGTTATTTTAATTCCCAAAATCACATGAAAAATCTTTGTGATATTTAAGTTTATTTATAAAGGTGAGCGCAAATAAAATAATTTCATTTAAAATATTTAAAAAGTAAATCAGCCTATAAATTAAAAATTACAATTAATCACAAGAACGTTGCTTTCCTTAGAAATAAATGTTGCTATGCAGATTAGATTAATAGTTAATTTTGTGGAATGTAAATGCTTTGTTCCCTCAAGACTAAAACTGATAAATTTGAAACAGAACGTTTGTTTTAACAACATGCAAAACACGTTGAAACAAGAAAACTTTTGCTTTAACATGATTTAAAAACCTCGTTATAGATTTATATCTGATAAAAATCTAAATATTTTCTTTAAGTCAATGTTGTGACAGTAAAACAGCAAAACCTGCTGGGATTGAGGAGACAAGATTTATATCTGGAGTTATATCCAGGTCCTGGCAGTTAAAGGCTTCCCTACATTTCTACTAATTTTACTTCAGATTTAAAAATCTATTTGGTCGAATTCTGTCAATAAATCTCTACCAAGAGCAAATGAATACATATTTGTATTTCCTCAGATTCTAACATTTAAATGTTTGTTTTTTACCAAACAGCTTCAGGTTCTCGTGTGATTTTCTGACACGCATCCAAACAGAAACAACAAACGATTTGCTTTAAAAAACTCCAAGAAAATCCACTTCAACGTAGCCAAATATCAGCGCTGTACATCTGAGGTAATCGGGTCTGTTTGGACACAGAAACACTTGTAAAAAATGAGGTATGTGAACACGGTGGAGGCTGAGAGTGCAAACGAGTCGGTCCAACCGAACACGCGGCGTTCGCAGAAGTTCGGATGTCAGCGAAGCAAAAACGGGTAAATAAACGGTAAAAGGTTTTTTATTCATTATGTTTTTACACGCCGGGTTGGCAGAGACCAAACCGAAAACACTCTGCAGATCCTGACCTTCATCTTCGATTAGAAACCAGGAGCTTCATCACGAGGCGAGAAACGAAAGGATAAAAACAGAGTCGGTGTTTACGAGAAGAACCGAGAACCGTGAGATCAATCTGTCAGCTGATCCTCTGAGATAAAAACTACTAAAATCTGTGATTTTAGGCAGGAAAATCATTCCAGGATAAATGAGTCACGCTCATAGCAACAGGCCATTTTCTGCATCCATAAACAAAATCTGAATTTTTTAAAAAGATTATAGTCAAATGTAAAATATTCATGATTTTTGTGCCACGGCAAAAACTCGAATAAAAGCAATAAATTAATATGAAGCTCAATGTCTGTCATTTCAACATTTAAAAGAACTAAAATCAATCATTTTTATTCCAATTCACTTTCAAAGTAAAAGTGCAAATTTCAGGGATTTTCTTTCTGATCTTTATTCTTTAATAATTAAAATTTTCTTTTTAAAAACATCCAATATTGAATTTAATTGTTTTAATATCATTTATTACATTTTCATATTTTATTGCATCTTAAAATGGTTGAATAGTTTTTTGCATCATTTTTTTTATATATAAAATGTTTAATTTTAAGCATAAATCTTGGTAATATAAAACAGTAAGAGCTTTTCTGATCATCCATCTAATTTAAGTGCTAGAACTTTTAATTCATTTGTCCCATTACTTTGTGTAGGAACAAAGTTTAGTGTTATGTTATAATTTCATATATTTTAATACTCTGACGTTTTATTTTCAGCCCTTTCCGCTCAGCAGGGAGGGAAAAGCAAGCGGCTCGTTGTGACTTTACATCTTGCTGGCAGTGACGATGTGATGCCGCCGCGGACCGACCGGCTCCTCTGTAAACATCTGAAGCAACATGGCCGACAGGAAGTAGAGCAGGAGTCAGGAAAATAACCAGGAAGAGTCCGGTGGCACTTAGAAAGCCCGGTTCTGATCCGACAAGAGGAGCCAAACAAAGCGTCAGGCGGCGGGAAGCCTCAGAGCGTGAGGTCACTTCCTGTCCACCTGGAGGACTAATTTACACACCGAGGAGGAGGAGGAGAAGAAGAAGAGCGCCTCGGTTCTCCGGGTCCGGTTGGTTCCGATTCTGAGAAATTCAACAAGATGATCTCTAAATGAATTAAAGTTCTGAGTCTTGCACATCAGAGATCCTCTCTGGTTTCCTGTAAAACCCAAAGTCCAAGTGGTTCTGGTTCTGGTTCCGGTTCCGGTCGGGAAGTTCTCAGAACCTCGTTTTACTTTCTTACTTCGTCAGAAAGAGAAATTCTGGTAAAAACGGAGGCAGACTAACCGTTCTGTGGTCCTGACGGAGCTGCAGCTCAGTACCGGACGGCCCGGGTCTGGACCTCTGGTTCTGGTTCCCTTAGTTAAATTCTTCTGCTTTAAAAGGTTCATAAAAAGTTCCTTCTGGCTGCAGAATCAGGCGGATCCGGTTTCCACGACCAGAACTTTGCTCTGGTTCCGAGGTAAACGGGCCTCACTGATCCCACTTCCTGCTGCCTTTCAGAGTAAAAGCCTCAGGACTGGTCGGGGTGCTGGGTCCGGACGTGGCTGTGCAGCCGGGTGTTGGACGAGAACCTCTTGCCGCATTCGGAGCAGCGCAGCGGCGAGGCGGCGCCGGCCGGCGGCGGCGACGACGACGTGTCGGCGGCGGCCGAGTCGCCGGCGGCGTGCGTCTGGCGGTGCGCCTTCAGCAGCGACATGCGGCTGAACCGCCGGCCGCACTCCTCACACTCCGACCAAACGCGCCGCCGCTTCTTCTGCCAAACGAGAGAGAGAGAGAGTGAGAAAGACAGCGTCACCCGACCAGAACCAGAAGCTTCTTCTCTTCCTCACCTTCCTCCCTTTGTCCCCCTCCTCCTCTTCCTCCTCCTCTTCCTCGTCCTCCTCTCCCCGGACCGTCGGCTCCGTGTCGTCCCGCTGGTCGCTGCTGCCGTTGGTTGCCAGGGCGATGAGCGTCTCCTTGGCGGCGGCGTCTTCGTCGTCTTCGTCCAGCAGCTGAGACGGCAGCGTGAGGAGGCGATGAAGCATGGAGGCAGAGGAGCGGCGGCCTGAGGGGTCAGAGGTCACAGAATACGTCGTTGAACATCCATCGGCCACCAGAGGGCGACAGACACTAAACATCGTTTCCTTTGGATCAATAAGGTGGTTTTTATTTAAAATAATATAATTTCCTTTATTTACAGTTTTATTAAAGAAGTTTTTATGGTCATTTATTAAAAGATTATTCAAAAATGAAAAACCTGTATTTTTAAAAAAATATCTTTTCTTATTCCACTGAAATGTTTTTGCACAAAATTGTTTTAATTTAAATTATGATTTATAACATTTTAAATGTATAAACTACCTTAATATTTTTTACATATTTTTGTTATTTTCATTATTTTAATTTTTGATATGACATTTTATTCTTTTAAATATGACATTAAAATTTAAATGATAACTTTAAAATGTGTAAATATGGAAGGTCGGGAAACGTGCTAGCCCCGGTGGTAGGCGCTCAGCAGCCATTCATCCAGCGGCTCGTTGATTTTTGAGTTAAAAAATGTTTAAAGTTGACAGGAAATTTGAAAATATCACTTGATAATTATGTGTAATTGTAATATTAGAAGATTAATATCTGAACACCTACTATAAAGTCTTAAAAAATGCAAACGTTTTAAAGAAAACTTCAATAAATAAGCAATGCTAAGCCTGGTGGGGGCACATGTAAAGCCTGGTAACCCGCCAGGCTGATAGTATGCTAAACTATACTGAAACCCTGAATATGACTTCCTGTGAGGCTTTTCCTGTTTCTTTCAACACATCAGTAAATGTTTTTCATTTAATAAATTAAATAAATGTAGCCAGTTTGTTCAGTGTGGTTGAGGTGCGTTTGTTTTCCTCACCTGACGGGCTGAGAGGGGGCCCTGGGGTGGGTGTGGGCCCCGGTGCGGGCGGGGTCGCAGTGGCGGCGGCGGCGCTGCTCTGACTGTCGGCTGCTTCGTCGTCGTCGGGAGAAAACACCTCCATGTCCTCCAGGGGCGTCCAGCGGGGGTCCTGCTGGGGGGACGAGGGCGAGGGCTGCAGGATCACCGAGGTGGAGGAGACGAGGTCGCCATGGTGACCCCCCCCCTCACTGGGACCCGGCCCGTCACCGCGGCGACCGTCTCCACCTTGAGCTTTCATGGGCCAGACGTCACTGCACCACTTCTGACCGAACACCTTGTCCAGGATGGGAACCCAGTCCTGGGGGGCAGGGGGGGCCGGGGGGGGCTCTGGGTCTGTGGGGGCGAGGGGGGGATTCATGTTTGGATTTACAGACCCGATCAGAACCAAACAGAACCAGTGGACCAATAGGAGCAGATCACTCACCGTCTGCCGGCGCCGTCTCTTTGGGCTCCTCGGCCGGTTCCTCCCGGGTGTCTTCGGACCCGCTGGGCGACACCGAGTCGTTGACGGAGCCCCGCCTCCTGCCCCCGGCCCCGCCCCCTCGGGACTTGTCCCCGCCCCCCCGCTCGGAGCTCCGCCCTAGCTTGTCCTCCAGCTGCTGCTGCTCCGCCTCCATCTTGGTGATCTCCAGCAGCAGGTCGTCGAACGATGCCTCCACGATCTTGGTGAGCTCACGCAGCGCGAAGGCCAGGACCTGCTCCATGACGGACTTCAGCTGGTCTGCAGGACGGAGACCAGACGGGTCAGAACCTCAGAACTACAGCCCCCACACCACACAGAGCCTGGCAACAAGCCCCGCCCCTCAGGACTCACACCAATCCCTGGAGTCCTGGAGCACAGTGATGCTAGCAGCGCTGCTAACACATTAATGGTCAAAAACAGTTTATTAGATTAAAATCTGTTCCCTTCGATTGAAGTTCATTTAGCTTTTCTGTCAGTTTGGCCTCCATCCAGCAGAGGGCGCTGCTGCTCATCTTGAAGCAGAGCCAGCTGATGGAAGAGAAATAATCATGGCGGACAGAGAAACGGTCCAAATAGAATCCAGAGTCGAGTCGGGAATCTGTTCAGAGAGGAGTCTTTTGAACTGAATCGTAAATGTTTCCAGTTCTCTGTAGGAACTATGATGGGTGAATTCACTGAAGGTTCTGCAATGCGTTCAGGTTCTGATCCGTTCTTCCGACCCGCTGACCCGGCTCCAGCACAGAGGGTTCTGGTTCTGTTCCTGTTCTGTTCGGCAGCTTTTAACAGGTTATTTCTGATTTCTTCCCAGCACCATTAGAGGTTCCAGTCCGGCCACCTTCAGAACCAGAACCAGAAGCAGAACCAGCCTTCTAATCTGACCCCCCTCCTCGTCTTCGCCCTCTATCTCCATGGCAACAAACAGATTTTAGGTCACCGTGTCATCTGACCAGAGTGTGTCACTGCAGTGACCTCATTACATCACCCTGTTTGTTGGCGGTAAGCCCCGCCTCCCCACACCTATGGCTGCACCTGATTGGCCGATGAGGCCGCCCGTCCTCCAATCTGGCAGCAGCGGCCATGGTGCTGGCCCGGTTCTCCATGGAGGGGAGTGAGTGTGTGTGTGTAGGTGTGTGTGTGTGACACTGAGACAGGTTGAAGCTTCCTCAGGAGTTTTATTTTGAAAGTCTGAAGCTTTAAGGTTCTTCATGAAGCTCCAGGCGACTAAATGAACTTATGAAGCGCTTTACACTCACACACTCATTCATACACCCATATGCAGATTGGGTTCAGTGCCCAGTGGCAGAAGGAAGCTGGACTCGACAGTTTACCGGATCAGAACCTCGGGTCGGACTCTGGACCCAACAGAACTGCACAGCTGGGCTCTTCATCCATCCGCCCATCATAGCCCTGATGTCACGCTCTGCATATCTTTCTCTTGGCAGCATCTCCTCAGATTAATATCCTAATCCCAGCTTTGTTCCTCCCAGTTCTCCCAGTTTCCTGAAGGTCTGGTTTCTCTCTCATCCAGTCCAGCAGAGGTTTCCTTTTCCCAGTTCGTCTCCTTCTGGAAACACTGGGAGGAACGGGAAGCTGCTGATTCTGGATCAAACCGCCTGCAGCATCGTTCCCGGCAGCCGGACGACCCGTTAATCTTGTTTTTATTATTTTGTTTTAACGTTTTAAGAACTTTTTGTCGTTGCTGCGGTTCCCCGTTGTGAGACAATAAAAGTTGTTTCTATTCTAATAAACAATCGGACCGGACCGGCCCGGTTCTGGTTCCAGAGGTTCTGTCTGACCCCAGAGCAGCTTTCTGCTGTTTGACCGTTAATCCGTCGCTGCTTGGAAAACATCACAGAGTCACGGTTTCGACCCGAAGTTGGACGAAAACAAGAAGATTCTGATGCAGGCCCGGTTCAGAGTGACATGGGCCAGGTCTGAACCGGACCGGGTTGATTTTTAACAGGACGAACATCTCTGATCAGGACGGGTTGGTTCGGTTCTGTCAGCAGGAACATCAGGAACTTGGACAACAGAACCAAAACCAGAACCGTCTGGAGGTTCTGTCATATTTCTCTGGTTCTCCTTATCGACCCGGTTTTCACTTATTCTACATAAAACTGGTTCTGGTTCTCTCTTTCTTTTGTTCTATTTGCACGGACTGGTTCCACTCTGAATTATTCCAGAGGGAAAAAAAGCTGCAAACACGACCAGCAGGAGGCGCTAGATCTCCATTCCTCACCACAGACCGTCTCTGGTTCCAGCTCAGATGAATGAAGCTCCAGATCGTCTTGGTTTGAAGGAATCAGCAGTCAGAATAAAACAGAACCAGATTTAAGAAGAGCATCATTTTTAAGTAAAAGCGGGCCGAGAACACGGCCCTGAGGGACGCCGTGTTAAATTAGACACAAGAAGAAGATTTCAAACAGACTCCTCATCTGCAGTCACTACGCCATGTTCAAAGAGCAGCACCGTAAAATGATCCTCAGTTTACGATTCAATGCTGAAATACGACTTTTTTTTTGGACATATTCATTCATTAAACCCAGTCATTCCTGAGCAGCGCTCCGTTTACGGCAGTAAAGATGGCCGCCGCAGCGCTCCGTTTACGGCAGTAAAGATGGCCGCCCAGCGCTCCGTTTAAGGCAGTAAAGATGGCCGCCCAGCGCTCCGTTTACGGCAGTAAAGATGGCCGCCGGCGTCTCTGGATGGATTTTAAAGTCGTGGACAGCGACAGCATGGTCACCAGATCGTCAGCAGACATTTTCAGCCTTTCTTTACGTCCATATTTACCGTCTGGCTTCTGCTGCTGCAGAATTATGACGCATTTTGGATAAAATGCGACATAAGCATTCAGACGCATCTGGAAGTGGAACAGGTCGGATTTATTTGGGGTCAAAAAGTTGGAATTGAGTCATTCAGACTTCTGTTAAAGGGTTGGTTCTGGGTAAGTTCTGTTACTGGACGACATTTATAGCATCAAAATGAATATGAAACAAATTCTTTTGTTGTTTTAAGAAAATAAAGTCAACCAAACCATCAAACAGTTGTTTATGTTTTCCAAAGATCTGATTGGTTCTGCCATGTTTGTTTACAGCAGCTCCTTCCTGTTTTACCTGGTCCCTCCTCTAGAGGCCCGTCCCGCTGCTCTGTCCACTGTGCCTCTGCTCCAGGTAGCAGCCAGCTGCAGTGACCTCCAGCTCTGACCTCTGGCCCTCCATCCCGGACCAGGAGCTCCTGCCCTCCCCTCCCTCCTAACCGCAATGTGTTGGCTCTTTGTCCTGATGACCCCCTTCCCCCACACACTCCACCCTTGAAGGGAGACCTGTCAAACCGGACTGTGGCTCATGTTTATGACCTCCACGCAGGCGGCTGGGTGGGTGTGGGGGGTCGGAGGCCCTGCTGTTTATTTTTAACCCGCCTGGTTCCGTCTTCCCTCCAGAACCGGTTCCGTCCCGGGAATCCACACAGCTTCTGGAAACTAGGCCACATCCTCCCTGTAAGCAGCTTTGCGTGCAGCGGCGCGGCGGGTGGGCGCTCTCCGCTGCCCGCCCTCCGCACCGCTTCGTTCTGGTCCGGGAGTCAGGAGAGGCCGGGGATGCGGGTCCCACCCCCCGCAGGCCTCCGTGAGTCTGCAGCTTGTTTACACATCTCACCCCGCTTACGCAACGCCTCTCCGGCTCGGAGGGATCCCCCACGGCCGTTTGTTTACGTGTGTGTGTGTGTGTGTGTGTGTGTGTGTGTGTGTGTGTGCAGCTCACCTACGACCCGTCCGCGCTGCTCCAGGCGGCGGGTGTCCACAGCCGTCACGGGCGCTGCGGGTTCTCCGCCACGCGCTCCGGCGCCGCGTGGCTCGGGCTTTGTCCTGCCGCCGTCCCCCCGCTCGTCGCCCGCCTTGCCGCTCCTACCGCCCGCCGCGGAGCCTCCGTCCTCCGGGGCGGTCGAGCCCCGGCCTTCACGGGTCTGCAGCTGCAGGCGGAGCCGGCGGTTTTCCTGCTCCTTGGCGGCCGTCTCTAGCAGCAGGGCGTTCAGGCTGGAGCCCACCGACTTGCTGATTTCCTGGACGGCGAGCTGAACGACCTGCTCCAGCACGGACTCCAGCTGGCCCTGGAAAAACGAAATGTAAACGGCCCCGTTCATGTTTTCGGCCCCTCCGCTTAGAGGCCTCTCTCATTCTTCTGTTCCCGACCCTCCAGCCCGCTCCCCGCGCCGACACCCTGACCGCAGACTGGGTGAAATCTTTCCCAGGTCGCGGTGCTCCTCCGGCGGCTGCGCGCTCCACGTCGCTCGCTGCTACTGCTGCTCCGCATGTTTTCCGACGATGGCCGAAAAGAGCCGAGTAGAGGCGCAGCGACATTTTCCCGCCCACATGTGCTGCCTGGGCTGTGACGCCATTTTGGCTTTCAGAGAATAACAGCAGTAATTCCCAAATGTCAGACTTCCTGCCTGTTTTTTACTAGAAAAATACCCGAGAAATGAGCTCCATGGGCCACACATCGTCAACCACACGTAGATTAACTACAGGTTCAGCTATAAAAATCTAAATAATGTCACTTAAACTCAGATGTTATACAAATCTATCACACACAGAGTAGAATATTTCAAGCCTCAAGCTCTTGCCAGTTTGATAATTATGGCTTAAAGATAATGACCCAAAAAAACCCTCTGAAAAATTATAATGTATATTTCATATGAACCATTATGTAGTTTAAATTATCTCCCATGAGTGGCTGGATTTGTTGAGCTCATGTATCAAACCTGCTGATTCAGGTCCTTCAGTTGGTTGGGAAAACTCCTGTTTATTCAGGAAAACCCAAAGGTTTTTTGTTTGCTAGTTTTCAATCTAAATTTAGCAACGTTAGGCCTCGGCTTTGTTGCTGACATGAGTTTTTAATAAGGTGTGAGTTGTTGACTTCCTGATGGAAGCAAACCAAATGTTCCTGTTTCCTCCATCATTTGATTTTCCATCTAAAAGTTTGGCCTCCTGCAGATTTACCATAAAAATGGTTCTGGTTCCAGTCTGTGTTCGGATCCCCGGTTCTGAAATGGACTCAGAGATGACCTGATGTCTAATGTTACATTTAACCTGGAAAACTGTTTAATCTAACAATTTATTGTTAGATTTAAATTTAAATTAAATAATTTAAATTTAATAATTTGATTCTTTATGTATTTACTTTCCGTGCTGCACAAAATGAGCCTGAAATGTTTATTCATTGGTTTATTGAATGGAGAAAATGTGTTTTGAAATTTTGTGGATAACATTTAAAATGATTCATGATGCTTGTTCTGCCTGAGGCAGTTAAACTGAGCCTGGGTGATAAACCGGGCCTGGACAGACCCAGAGGCGGTTAAACGGTTAAACCGGGCCTGGACAGACCCAGAGGCGGTTAAACGGTTAAACCGGGCCAGACGGACCCAGAGGCGCCTGCTCTGCATGAGGCTCAGTAGAAGCGACCTGCGGGTGAAAGTGGCTCCATAAGGTGCTGATCAGATGTGCTGTAAACAACTGGATGTGGTTAAATTTGGGCGGACTTGCCCTTTAATCCAGCATTACATCACTGACGCCCCCCGCCCCGCTCCACCCCTCCGTGGTGGCGCGCATGCCGCAGCGGAGCGACACTCCCCCTGAAAACAGCTGCGTCTCTGCTCTGGGCTTTACGGTAGCTGGGATCACGGAGTTTGAGCAGAAGGGGGCGGAGCCTGCACGCTGCTAGTCTGCGGCTTTTGTTGTTGTGAGACGGTGGAGGAAGCCGAACCGAACCGAGCGCGGCCGAACTGGGCTGCGTGCCTGCAGAACGCAGCTTTAGGGAAGTGGTTTCATCATTTCCTTCCCTTGTCTGCAGCTTCTGTGACTTCGCTTCATAAATCAGCAGTTTATGAGGCTGAAATCATCACTTTAATGCCTGTTAAAATATATTTAGCCCCAGACCTTCAGTTCCTGTTTATTTCCCAAACACTTTAGATTCAGGTTTCAAACATTCAACATAAACTGATTTAATCGGTGCAGTGAGTTTAATAAATCAAGTCGTCATGTTCGTGAATTCTTTTGGTTCTTTGAATTAAAGTAGACACGGGAGCCATGTTAGATTTATCGTGGTTCTGTCCGACTCATCCAGGGTCCAGTTAGGTTCGGTCCTACGTTCTTTGCTGCGGCGCACCTCCAGCTCCGCTGAGGCCGGTACCGGTCCATTAAGGCCTGTCATGATGACAATTTGATGGACAATAAATTGTTCCAGAAGTTATTGCGATAAACAATAATATTGTTGTTTTGAAACAATTTGTATAATGCAAATGGCATTAAACTTTAAATTCCAATTAATATTTATCAATGGAGCTGGGAGACATTTTAAACATCCAAAATAAATTAAACAACAAATAAGATGAATTATGAAGTCCCTGTAAACAAACGTGTCCTTTAGAAAATGGAGACCAAAGCAGCAGACTGAAAACGTTTCTCATCCAGTTTTTGGTAGAAAGAGAAAAACAAAATCATCGACTTCATTTTAATTTATCATGCAATTAATTTATTTATTGCTTATTGCAACAGGTTTAGGTCATCTGATTCAGCCTGAATCAGATGAACGGAAAAAATAAGGGGGAAAAGGGCAAAAGAAGATGAAAAAGAAACAAAGTACTAAAATTTTCCACCTACTCAACAATAAAATATGTTGCAATACTTTAATTATATTAGTAATTAGTTAATTTTTGCTGGAAATGAAGGTGTAATTAAATTCATTACTCTGATGTTCAAAAAGCCATTAACAGCTTAAGTAATTCTCACGCAAAGGAATTATAATTTAGACGCTATGTTTTTAAAAAAATATAGTAACATTTTAGTAGAACCTTTAACTCATATAGTTAACATTTCCATCAGAACAGGGCAATTTCCCGATGCATGGAAAAAATCTTTGGTGAAACTGATTTTTAAATCAGGAAGTCCACATGAAATCAGCAACTACAGGCCAATAAGTCTGGTTCCGGTCATGGAGAAAATGATTCTGGAACAACTACTACTGCATTTAGACAGTGACAATCTTCAGTTTGGTTTCAGACGGCAGCATTGCACAGAGACCGCTGTAGGTTTGCTGCTTGAAAAGGTTAAACAATCACTTGACAAGGGACAAATTACTGGTGCAGTTTTTCTTGATTTGAAAAAGGCCTTTGATACGGTGAATCACAATTTACTGATCTCAAGGCTTTCATCATTTAATTTCTCAGAACGGTCATTGTCTTGGTTTAAATCATGTTTGGAAGATCGTGGACAGTGTGTTGTCATTAATAACAGTAAATCTTAACAGGGATTCCACAAGGAACCATCTTAGGTCCGGTCCTTTTTAGTTTGTACGTTAATAGTCTTCCTGAAATTTGTCCTGAAGTCAATCTGCAAATGTTTGCTGATGACACCGTTGTTTACACATCGGACCAAACGGTATTGTTGTTAGTGAAAAACTTCACAACAGTCTGCAGAGATTATCAACATGGCTGAAGGATTCTTGCTTAACTCTCAATACAAAGAAAACAAAGTGCATTTCCCTTTCAGTCAAGAAAACATCATTACAGTCCTTGAACATTCAGATCAATGGGGACCGTATTGAACAAGTATCACAAGAAAAATATTTAGGAATAATTCTGGATGCTCAGTTAAATTTTAGGAGCCATGTTGATACAATCTGCAAAACTGTTGGATCGAATATAAACTGTTTTAAAATTATTAGACATTGTTTGACACTTCACTGTGCAGAGATATTTTTAAATTCACTGATCTTCTCACATTTTACCTACGGAGCTACTGTCTGGTCTCAGACTAGTCAAACTCAAACCACTAGCAAGTCTGTATAATCGGGCCTTAAAGGTTTTATATCAAAAGCCGATTAGATTCCACCACTGTCACATTTTGGTTAAATTTGGCATTTTGGATTTTACAAATTTTCTAAATTATATTGTTTTAAAATTGATTTTTAAGTGTTTAAATGGACTTGCACCTACACCATTAAGTGATTGTATACAGAGACTGCAGGGCAATAGCAGATCTACCAGAGCGGCTTTAGATGGAAATTGTAAGGTTCCCTTTCGAAGAACCACTTTTACTCAAAGTGCTCTGCCTGTGAGAGGATCTGCAGTTTGGAACTCACTTCCTGTTCATTTAAAGTCTGTAACCAGTTTTAGTATGTTCAAAAACCAAACAAAACTCTGGTTATGCCAAAAACAGAACTGTACCCATTTTTGATGTTTTACATTTTTCTGTTTGTATACATTATGTTGTGCTATTTTAAATGATTATCACTTCAATTTTTAGAGTTATTTTTTAAAAAGCCCAACTAGGGACAAGTGCTGTGGATCAGCTGTTGCTGTTGCACCACGATGCAAACATGGGATGATGTTTTATTCAGTTTGTCTATGTTGATGTGTCCCTATCAAATAAACTTTATAATAATTGTACTATTTTTAAAAGATCTACACTGAAAATAAATAAAATCTTTTGTTGTCAATTTTAACAATAAACCTGAAAGGTGTTTTGTTTTAAAGAAAGATTATGAATTATTAATGAGGCGATGCATTAAAAGCACTCAACCCTCCAGATGAGCTGCCGACTGAAACCCGTCCAGTCTGACTGCAGCTGAAGGTAAGGTCATTTCATTTATACAGCACATTTTCAGCAACAAGGTCATTCAAAGTGCTTTACATGAGTTAAAAGGAAATACAAACAAAATAACAAACCAAAGGAAAGAAACTAATCTAATGTTCTAAAGTCTGTAAACTAGGTCCTCCTATTCAGGGTTGCTAAGTATCTAATTCCGTTTCTAAATAGTGAAACTCTGCAGTTTCTGATAAAATAAGCTAAAAAGTGGCTGATCTAAATCCTTTACTGAGTTAAATGTCCTATAAACTAAGCAGTGACTGATCCTGTTAAGTATTTCTGTATTCCAAGTTCGTAGTTATTCTAATTCCATTTCTGGGCTGTATAATATTGACCCAAATAGTGCGTACTCCATAGTTTCTGATATTACTAATAAACTAAAATAATCCTTTTCTGGGTTAAAACTGAGAAATGCTTCGCTTTCCTGGTTCTGGCTGCAGAAATGTAGATGGAACCCTTCAAAACACAGAGCTGACCCACTGATGCACCGGAGTGGAAAAGCTTCAACCTGCAGATGGAAACATGAAGAACAGAACCTCCAACCAACGTTTTAACCAACCGAGGTTCAGACCCGCTGTGGAACCAACTCCTGATCACAGAACCGGATTGGTTCTGCTGGATCGGCTGCAAAGAGATGAAACAACTCAGGTGATCATTACCTGAGCCACTGGCTCCTACAACCTGCTTTCAGATTAGCTGAACTAAATGAACTAAATCTTTATCTTTGCTGAAACAGGAACCGAGCTTTGAGACTGAACAAACAAACCAAAACTGAGCTGAAACATACATTAAAATCTAGATTCAGGTGAAACATCAAACAGAATCACCTGGAAATCATTCAGTCTGAGTTCCTGAGAGGTGATGGGAACTTTGCCTGTGAGCAGCATCATTCAACCTCATGTTACCATGGAGACGCGTTGCTGCCAACATCCATGATGACCCAGAGGAGGGAGTGTCTCTGATGAAAGCCAACTTCCTGTGGACCGCGTTCAGTTCTGAAAACACACACGCACACACACACGCACGCACGCACACTTCCTGGTGCCCTTCTACCTCAGTCCAAGGAGAAATTGGAGCAGCTGTTGTCTGAACCTTGGCCAGCAGGGGGCATTACAGAACAGAGGAGGAAGAGCTCAGAACTTTGATTATTCTTCTGTTCTGTTTTGATTGTTGAAATACTTTTTAAAAATCTGCCACAATTTTATTTTCCATTTTACCAGGAAAGCTTTCCATGTTAAAATGCTTCAGCGGCTTTTTGAACAACATCCTACATCGTGTAAATCTGCTAAGTCCATAAAGACACACTCACACCTACAGATAATTCAGAGAGGCCAGTTAACCTCACTGGAGTAAGAAGCTGGAGTTCCCCGAGAGAATCCACACATGAATGGAGAGAGCAGTGGACATATTTAACCCAGGCCAGGTAAATATAAATATGTGTAATATGGGCTGCTGGTGGGTA